AAGGTGTAGTTTTATGTGACATTTTGGTCGTGCTCACGAGTCTGTTCCCACAAATGGCAACATTAAGTAATGAATACCCGGTAGCCATAGAATTGGCCGGACATCTAACTCGAGGACAGTTAGTAACTGATCGCACGGGACGTACAGAAAGGAAAAAGTTTTCGGGTCATAGAAAGGCTCACTTTCTGCTCGGAATCGATGTCTCCAAGTCTATTGAACTCATCAAACAAATGTCTCGCAATTGAATTTACTTTCATTAATTATATTCAATTAATATTTCTAAACAAATTATCTTTTGTAATTATATTAGACAAGACAAACTAAGACAATATTATAATCTTTGTCATTTTCATTTAAATGCCTTTGGAGTAAGAATTACCTTTAATTATATATTATAAATTAAAGTTACTTAATGTTTGGAAGTTTAAAACAACTTTCTAATTTTTCATACCATTACATAATGTTTTTAATGCTATTTAATGCTAAAATTTAGAAGAAAGAAATTAGACTTAGTAATTATTTATATCTAAAATTATATCCAAATAGGTTTGTTATAAAAATTAACTTATTTGACAAATCTTAACAAAACATATAATTGTTATAGCCTGATTAAATAAAATGGTTTGAGTTTCTAGGAATAATACAGTTACATAAAAAAGTCTAAATAATTAAATGCCATTTTTAATTTACGCTAATAAATATTGAGTAATCAGTATTTACTCATGATTGCTAATAAAGTAATTTAATTTGTATAGTTATTCTCATTTGTGTGGAGATAAAGCATTAAATTAAATTCAAATGAACTGTTTTATATTCATTTGTTTATGTCTGTTCATTTCATTGACTATCATATCGGACAAAACAGATGCAAAATGTAACTTATATTTTAATAGATTATAATTGATTTTAAAATATGATACAAATATTTACAGACAATGGTTTGGTCTCAAAGATAAAGCGCCTGCAAAAGAGAAGTACCGGTCAATTGATTGCGTTAATTAGGAACAGAAGGGGTTCCGACTCTTCTAATAAGAGGGCGATAGAGAGGGCGGCCGAGAGAGCGGCCGAGAAAGCCGTTGAGAAGAAGTACAGGAAAAGTGGAAATAATGATGAGTGCGATGATGAGGACGGGGATACCACACATAAACACGTTCACCACCACAAACACATCCACCGTCACGAACATGAACACCAGCATGACAATGACAATGACAATGACAATGACAATGACAATGACCATGATCATGATAATCAAGATGATGAACCGGAAGCAACGACTAAAAAGCCCTGTAGGGGAAGGAGATGTGGGTCTGGAGGAGATGGGGGAGGGGGAGGGGGTGGTAGGAACAGAGGTGGCGGCGGACATTCAAATACTATTGGGATTACCGTTAATGTGAAAAATCAATAAGTTTTACACTAAATAATTAATAAAATACATTTTAAATTCTATGAAACCATTAGATAATGTTTTTATTAATTTAATTAAAATTTTAATCTTTTTATAAATAAAATATTCTAATAATTAATTAATTAAATACTATTGAGAACACAATTAATTATAAAAAATTAATTAGATTCTCTGATTTTTACTAAATTACAATTAACTTAATTGAATAATATATTAAGCAAACCCGCTTGATTATTATACTCTGATTAAATAAATTGTTTTAAAATTCTGAACAATAAGAGACATTTATATAATATGTAAATTGTATCTCTAAATATTTATTCATCATTCCTAATAAAGTGCTTTGATTTTTGCAATCCTTTCATTTGTCTGTAAAAGACAATATATTAAAGGTATATATTTCCAATGAATTGTTTTCTATTAATTTGTTTTTGTCCTTTCATTTCATTGACTTTATTTTTGGATCAAACAAACGCAAAAAGTAATTAACATTTATTATTAATAATAATTTGTTTAAAAGTTACTAAAATATATTTGCGACAAACAGACAATGAATTGGTGCCAATCATGGGGACCATACAAAAGCAAAATACCGGTCAATTGATTGCCTTATTTAGGTACAGAAGGGGTGCTAATAATGAGAGAAAAAACAGGAATCAGGTGCAGAGGACGGCCGGCAAGAGATATAGAAGTTGTGGTTCTGAAGAAGACGGTGAGGATGATCATCATTCGGGTGATGATGACGGCGATACAACTCACGAACACGTACACGTCCACCACCACAGACATGTGCATGTTCATAAACATGAACACCAACATCAACATAATGATCAAGATCATGGCCATTCGTCATCCACTGTAAAACCACGTAAGAGAAAGAAGAAGTGCAGAAATTGTGGAAATGGATGCGGGGATGGAGGAAGAGGAGGTGGTGGTGGTTGTAGAGGGGATAC